AACTAGTCAGCTAGCTAGCCAGCTAGCCAGCTAGCTAGCTAGCCAGCTAGCCAGCTTGCTAGCTAGCTAGCTAGCTAGCTGTTTTGCACTCTTCTGTTTTGCTGTGCCCCCTCCTGCCCCCACCTCCTCCCCACGGCTGCCACCCCTGCCTCTGCTGCTGCTGCTGCTGCTGCTGCTGCTGCTGCTGCTGCTGTTGCAGGTCTACGAGCCGCTGGTGCAGTCGATAATAAATTGCCACTTTCACATTTTTCGAGATAAACCAAAACCGGCAAAAATTGGAGACAGAATAATAAGGGCCAAGAGGATTTGCCCGCCTTCTCTTTGGGTATTTGCCTCCAAACTCCGCCAAATTTTCTCCTTTTTGGCTCTTTTTTCTCCTTTTTTCGCTCTTCTTTTCTCCCTTTTTGGCTCCTTTGTTCTTTTCTTCTTTGCGTCCTTCTTTCTGCTTTTATTTTTCTTCTTTTGGGCCTTTTTGCGGCACCTTGCAGCTCCTTTTGGGGGACTTTTTGCCTCTTTTTCACTCTTTTCCGGTCATTTTTTGTCTTTTTGTCCCCCTTTTTTTGTCCTTTTCTGTCCTCTTTTTTGTCTCTTCTTCTCCCTCTTTTTGTCTCCTGTTCTCTTTTTATTTTGTGTCTTTACTTGGTCTTTTTGTCTCCTTTTTGTCTCTTTTTTGTCTTTTTTGGGCATTTTTTGGCTTTTCTTCGTCTTTTTTGCATCCTTTTTATGTCTTTTTCTGCCTCTCGTTTTGCCCTTTTTATTTTCCATTTTTTGTTCTTTTTTCTTCTTTTTTTCTCCTTTTGGGGTCATTGATATTGTTGCATTTGCTGCTGCTGCTGCTGCTGCTGCTGCAGGTAAAGCGGGAGCTGGACTCACTGATGCGGGAGATGAGCAGCAAAAGGAGACAAGAGAACAGCAGCTGTGTCTCTTCTGCTGCTGAAGAAGCAAGTTATTGGCGGGGACTTAGCCAGCAGCAGCAGCAGCAGCAGCAGCAGCAGGCGCAGATGCAGCAGCTGCTGCTGATGCCAGCTGAGCAGCAGGCCTTGAACGATCAGCACCAGCAGCAGCAGCAACAGCAGCAGCAGCAAGAAGAGCATAGTGTGTGGCAGCCCGACGCCTTTCTGCAGCAGCAACAGCAGCTTCAGCAGCAGCAGCAACAACTGCAGCAGCAGCAGCAACAACTGCACCACCAGCAGCAGCAGCTCCAGCAGCACCACCAACTGCAGCAGCAGCAGCAACTGCAGCAGCAGCAACACATGTTTCCCCATTTGCAGCAGCAGTACAGGAGCTCGGGGTGTACCTACACTGATGTGCCTGCACTGCCAGGAACAGCAACTGCAGCAGCAACAAGAACAGCAGCAGCAGCAGAAGCCGCAGCAGAAAAAGGACAACCAGCGCCAGCAGCAGCAGAAGCATCAGGAGAAGCAGCAGCAGCAGCAGCAGCAGCAGCAGAAGCCACTAACGGCCTCGCCTATGACAAGGCCCACCAATATATGGCGGGCCCTCATCAAGAGCCCTTCAGCTGCGCACCCACAGCAGCAACAGCAGCAGCAGCAGCAGCAGCAGCAACAGCAGAAGCAGCAACAACAGAAGCAGCAGCAGCTGCTGCCGCAACAAAAGCAGCAAGGACAGCAGCAGATGAAGACTTTGGCGAGCAGCGGCTGCTGCTCCCAGGTGTCGCATCAGTACTGCACCCCCTGCAGCAGCAGCAACAGCAACAGCAGCAGCAGCAGCAGCAGCAGCAGCAGCAGCAGCAAGACAGTGCCGAGACTGGTCGCAGCGTCGACAGCAGCAACATGGAGTCCCTAGTGCAGAGGCTGCTAGACTGCACTCAAGAACCGCAACAGCAACAGCAGCAGCAGCAGCAGCAACAGCGCCCATGCGCTGCAGAAGAGATGGCAGCAACAGCAGCTGCAGCAGCAGCAGTCACTCCAGGTGCAGCCGCACCATATCAAGCTGCGAGACATTCCCAAGTGTCTCAGCAGCAACAGCAGCAGCAGCAGCCGCAGCAGCAGCAGCAGCAAGAGAAGAGTGCAAATCTGCTGCTGCAGTTGTGGGAGCAGATGCAGCCAAAGGACTCTTTGCCCACAGCTGCAGAGACGCAGCAGCTGCTGCTTCACCTGAAGCAGCTGTTTGTTGATTTCAGCAGCAAACGGCGGCGGCGGCAGCAGCAGCAGCAACAGCAACTGCAGCAGCAGCAACAGCAACTGCAGCAGCAGCAACATCTGGAGGAGCAACAGCAGCAGCAGCTGCAGCAGCAACAACAGCTGCAGCAGCAACAGCAGCAGGAACTGCAGCAACAGCACCAGCAACAACAGCAGCAATTGCAGCAGCAGCAGCAGCTGCAGCAGCAGCAGCAGCAGCACCAACTGGAGCAGCACCAGCAGCAGCCGCACGAGCAGCTCCATCAATTACACCAGCAGCCGCTGCAGCAGCAGCAGCAGCACCAGGAACGGCTGCAGCAGCAAAGCTTATCATATCCGTCCGAAGCCCGCCACTTGGGCAACGGCGCCAAGCAGCAGCAGCAGCGGCAGCAGCAGCAGCACGAAAACCAGCTGCAACAGGAACTGCAGCAAGCGCCGTCTAGAAGTGTAAATTTCATTGTGCAGCAGCAGCAGCAGCAACACCGAGAGCAGCAGCTGCTGCAGCAGAGCCAGCATGCTTCTCGTGCACAGCGAGCGCAGCAAGCTGAACTGCAGCAGCAGCAGCTTCAGCAGCAAGAGCTGCAGCTCCTACAGCAGCAGGTCCAGCAGCCGCAGCAGCAGCAGCAGCACCGGCAGCAGCAGCAATATTCTCTGCAGGCGTTACAGCAGGAGGCCCTCAGCCATTCTGCTGCTGCTGCACCCAAAGAGCAGCTCCAGCTGTGCAAGCAGGCTGAGCAGCACCAGCACCTGCTGCTGCAGCAGCAGCAGCAGGACCAGCAGCAACAGCTGCAGCAGCAGCTGTTGCAGCAGCAGCAGCAAGTGTCTGCAGGCACTTGGAGCAGCAGCCAGCAGCAACAACAGCAACAGCACTACTGGGGTCCTGCAGCGCCGCAGCTGTCTGCCGCTGGGGCCCCGCTGCCGCAACCCTGCAGCAGCAGCTGCAGCAGCAGCTACAGCAGCAGCTGCAGCAGCAGTTACAGATGCAGCGCAAGCAGCAGCTGCAGCAGCAGCAGTTACAGCAGCAGCAGTAGTTACAGCAGCAGCTCCTGTCCAGCCAGCAGCTGCAGCAGCAGCAGTGGCAGCAGCAGCGGCAGTTACAGCGGCAGCAGCTGCCCAAGCACCATCTGCAGCAGCAGCAGCAGCAGCAGCAGCGGCTGGCCGTTCCCGGCCCCGCCTCCGTACCCATTTGCTGCAGCAGCACTCAAAAGCCGCACAGGGGGGCCCCCGGGGGGCCCCCTGAGGGGCCCCCTTGAGGGCCCCCCTAGGGATAGGCTTGGGGGCCCCCCTAGGGGGCCCCCTGGGGGCCTTCTTGGGGGCCCCCTAGTAACCCCTGCGGGGGGGCCCCCCTTGGGGCCCCCCGGGGGCCTCATTCGCGAGGGTTTAGGGTTTAGTGGTTTTGCTAGTTTGCCAGGAGAGCAAACGGGAGGGTTTGTAGGCCCTGTCTAGGGTTTAGGGTTTTATTTGATTTAGAGGCGAGAGCACTGCGCCGTGTTTCCTAAACCCTAAACCCTAGGGCATATGTTTTTCGTGTTTTTGTGTACTTTTGTTGCATGCCGACGGTCCCATGCCGCCATTAGGGTTTAGGGTTTAGGGTTTAGGGTTTAGGGTTTGGTGGTGCCCGCTCAGCCCCGAAGGGGCGCGGCTGCTTTGCGAAGCTGGCCGCAGCTAAACTCGAACACAAATAATTTAAATTTTTATTTGCTTTTAATTAATTTTATTTATTTATAAAACTGCGTTTAATTCATGCTGCAGCGGCTGCTAACCGCTGTTGCTGCTGCTGGTGCTGCTGTCTTGCGGTGTAGGCTCAGTTGCAGCAGCAGCAGCAGCAGCAGCAGCCTAAGAGTGGCACTTATACTTAATACATTAATTTGGACTTTTCAAAGTTTAATTTCGCTACAGCAAATAAGAAAGACAGCACCTGCTGCTGCAGCTTCAGCAGCCGCTGCAGCATCTGCTGCTCCTGTTGCATGCAGCAGCAGCAGCGCAGCAGCAGCGCCGCAGCAGCAGCAGCAGCAGCTTTCCACTTTTTATTTCCATCAAAGCAAAACTAGTACTCTTGTTATATAACCTCTCTGGCAGCATATTTCAAAGGGTCTAAACCCTAAACCCTAATTCAAAACCGCAAACCCTAAACCAATCGCGCACGTACAGTGCGCCGCGCACTCCCCTGAGGGTTTAGGGTTTAGGGTTTAGCGTTTAGGGTTGGGAAGTAGTGAGTTCACCCCGCTTTTCATGAAGGGCTCGTATTGGGGGGTTTAGGGTTTAGGGTTTAGGGTTTAGGGTTTAGGGTTTAGGGTTTAGGGTTTGGAGCCGCAGCGCCTGAGCTGTCTGTACACTTTCTTTCTCCCTTCTTTGGCACATGCATTGTCTCTCCATTGCCAC